CTGTTTTGTTACTTTCTATGCTATGGGTTTATCGTGTCCTCTTGGTTCACTATCAGTCTTTTCATCCTCATTTGCCCTACTGTTTGCCATTGGTGAACTGGAAGTCTGTCTTTGTGTCTTACTTAAGTGTTTTCTCATTTTTATTTTTGTTGTTGGGTTGTCCTTGGTTTAATTTCTGGGTTATTACTTAAATTTTCCTGATATAGTTGCACTTTAGCTTTTGAGTCTCTAATGACTCATAGACAATCTAATTTTCACAATATCAGAGAAAACAAATCATTAAGTCAATCACAATCCTTTATCCCAATTGATACAATCAGCAACAGAATAGGATCAAACACAACTTGCAAACTGACAACTTGTGGTAGTCATTAATCTATCACCTTTAAACCATGTGAATTAAATTAAAATCAAGAAGCAGCCCAAAATATGTTTGCAGTGAATACACTTTTCAATATAACATCTTTACCATTTAGGATAGGGGCTTAGACAGAGTTAGGAGAGGAGTAGATAAATGAAAGAATTGGAAAAAGTTTCAAGTGAAGCCAGAGGACATAGAATGACCATACAATCTTTAGGAAAGTATTAAATTCAAAAGGGATAGACAGAGGTACAAGAATAAGGACAGGAATATATCCCCTTAACAGTAATAGGGGCTCACTTTCACTTGAAACTATTGATCTATGAGTGAGGTAAAATGACAGAAGAAAAGAATGTAAAGAAAAAAGAAAAAATGATAAAAGAAGAAGTCCGAGTCAGGGCAGGAACAGGAACAGAAAGGGAGATGACGGATAATATGGTGGAACAAGAGACTGAGTTGAAGAAAAAGGTCAGAAAAAAGAATTTGCAGAGTGGAATGAGGAAAAGAAAGAAAAAAAAGAATTTGAAGGGCCTCTTTCAGACTATATCTCTGCTGTCATAATATACAACGTGGGCAGCAATGCGCAGAAACAAGTCCCCTAATCTCAGCTAGCCAATGGCAGATTCCCCCAACTCAGACTGACCTCGGGCTGCAAGGCCCAGATTGAGTTCCCCGACCTTCTGCAGGGTTGAACTCCACACAGTTCTACTACAGCCCCCCCCCACTTTTTAAAAAAGATGTTCAAAGTTGGGAGCTCAGAAAAATACCCTTTATGATCACCTATACCTCTGCAGAGTGGGTCCAAGGACTGGCACAATCAGGAGGTCTGAGAGTGGGGGGTGCGGTGGGGGGGCTCAGGGGCGCCTGTGCGGCTACCTTCTTTGCTGGAGCTCTTGGCAGTGCAGGCAGGGGAGGGCACTGCTACCTGCTCCTGTGGAATGGGCCCAAGTAGGCTGGAGAGAGAGCAGATCTCGGGGCAGCCTTCCAGGACATTCCTTTTTTTAAAAGAAACTAATTGTTGCTACTTAGTGTAAAGATACCCTTTTCTTTTAACCTATAATAAAATAAGAATATCTTGAAATGTTAAATCATATTGACTCTGTTGAATCATAAAATTATTGTATGTTAATTTATGGGAAAACACTTTTTCAATATCTGTCCCAATTGTTTTTCTTACTCTAAACCATTTTGTGCATATGTAAAATCCTCTTGGTTTTGACACTTGAATTTTTAAGGAAAAGATCTACATAACCATTTGTATCTCCAATGGATTTATGCACTTGTAAATATTTAAAAAATACTCTTTGCATGTATCTCATCTGTAAGTATTATTATAGTTATTCACTGTGAAGAATTTAGAGGTTCTTATGCCATTCTCTATAAAATGAATGTCTCATAATCCCAGTACTCTATCTTTAAGACCAAGTGTTTATTTAGGTCTGTTCAGAGATCATTAAAAAATAATAGGCAGGGACTGCTCAATTTTTAAATAGTATTTAGAAAATAATGGTAAATGTTGATACAAATATAAAATCCTTATGTCTAAGATGTATAATACTAAACAAGTAATACTAAAAAATTTGGTAGCTAAATTACATTTTAGAAGATGGATCTAGTGCATTGATAATTAGCATAATATTTGAATTGCAGAAAACTCTTCAATTTAATGAGTACAATCCTTTTTCCACTTACATGTCCTATAAAAACCTACAGATTTTTTCAAGTCCAATGAATTGTGTTTAGAATCCTGTTTAGTAAATACTTCTTACCATGAAATTTTGCATTATGTATCTTTACAAAGGATTTTTAAAACGTTAACCCTTTAGAAAATTGAATCTGTAAGATACAAAAGCATTATTGATCTCTTTTAACTGTGCTGATGAGTGGAAATCTTTTAGGCCACTGTATTTTTTGTTTGTTTGTTTGTTTGGTTTTTTTTTGGTACCTGAGATCAAAGAATGGAAATCTTTTAACCAAGAATATTACAAGTGGGCCTTAACATCTCTCATTGTCATTAACATCCTAAAAGGTGCATGCTTGTTAAGCTACATCATAGAGCATTATATGTCTGTAAAAATATAAATGTTATTCTACAAGACTAAAAGCTTACCTTAACATAGATAAACTTTCATTAGTGTAATACCTTAATTGTTATGGAAGTTAACAATTCATTGTTTTAGAAGTTATAGTATTCCTTGATGTTCACTAATATGTATTTTTTCTAATAAATTTTAAAAGAACTTAATGAGGTGCAACTGGTATATAATAAGTGGCACATATTTAAATGATATATTTTTAAAAATATTGCTAAAAACTGTGTTGGTAGACACTTGTAATCCCAGCTGCTCAGGAGGCTGAAGTGAGAGAATTGCAAGTTTCAAGATGGCTTGAGCAAGTTAGTGAGATCCTGTCCCAAAATAAAATAAAAAGGGCTGGAGATGGACCTCAATGGTAGAGAACTTGCTTAGCACTAGTGAGGTCCTACGTTCAATCCCAGTACCAAAAATACATGAACACGCATACACAGACACACAGACACACATACACGCACACGCACACACACACACACACACACACACCCTTACCCTTGAAACCATCACAACAATCTGACAGTGAACATTTGCATCATCCACCAAAATTTCCTGTCCCCTTTTCTGATTTCTCACTGTCAAAAGTGCACTCTCCTTTCCAGGCCACCATTAATTTTCTTTTTGTCACTACAGATTAGTTTTGATTTTTCTAGAGTGTTATATAAATGGAACCACACAGAATGTAATTTTTTTGGTCTGACTTCTTTTACTATGCACAATTATTTTGAGATTCTATTTTGTTATATGCATAGTTTATCTGTTTTCATTGCTGAATAGTATTTCATGCATAAATATGCCATGATTTGTCTATCCCTTAACCCAGTGGTAGACATTTGGATTGCTTCCAGTTTTTAGATATCACAAAGAAAGCTGAAGTTTTTAGCTGTTACCAGTAAAGCTGCTATAAAAATTGAATGTTGCTGGGGATGTAGCTCAGTGGTGCAAGGTCCTGAGTTCGATTCCCTGTACCAGAAAAAAAAATTGAATGTGTTTAAAATTGTTTTATTTTCAGTTTTTACCATTACCTGACAGTAATGCTTAGCAACATTTGTCAGACATGTTTACGATTTTGTTTTGTTTTGTTTTTTGTTTTTTGTTTTTTGAGACAGGGTCTCACTATGTAGTTGAGACTGCCCTGGAACTCACTATGTAGCCCAGGCTGGTTTCAAACTCTGACAGACATGTTTTTATGCACCTTTCCCAGCTGTTTTTGGTAATTAGGGAAAACTATGAAAATACTTAAGTTTAAAGCCATTTCCTATATTTTGTCCATTTTACTCATTAGAAGTATTAATTATAGGAAGGCAAAAAAATCTCAATTTCAATTCTGAAACCCTAACAACCTGACCACCATTATCTTATTTTTTATGACATCTCTAAAAAAAAAAAATTTAAATGTACTGGAATTGAATCTCCTAGTTCTTAATTAACCAAAGAGCTTATGCAAATACTTTCTTCACTGTAATGATGTTATGATGACTATTTTTCTAAAGAGAATAAATGTTTCCTAATGATCATATTTTATTTCCATAAGTAAATGTGGCAGTCGAAATCTATCATGCTTATGAAATTTTCTGTAAACAAGAAAGTATAGAAAAGATCCCATAATGCCATACTAAAAAAGTATGAAACACAATTTAATTTAATTTATATTTTTATTATTGAGAAAACTTTATTATTCCAGTTTCATAATTTTTTGAAAATCTAATAACTTTATAGAGTGCCTATACAAAGCAATATTTTATGCAATGTTACTTTAAATTCTTAAACATTTTCCTAAGAAGAAAAGTAATCAGAGCTTACATTTTCTCCTTTCTACTTGCTTATTCTTCACAATAAATATATTTTGAGTATGTATATGTATGTAAGCATATATTTACTGAGAGATGTACATATATTAAGTCACTTTTCTAAGTCAGTAAATACCTCCTGTTTATGATTAATTTTAGTGTATTTGCAGTCTGTTAAGAATAGTTCTAATTTTAGGCAATTTCATTTAAAGTGGCATTTTTCTACATTAATGTTAAATATATAACCTTAATAAAAATACAGGAGCCATTCTATTATATATTTTCTGAAAGACTAATTATATTACACAATTTTACGTCTTTCCTGAAAACGTACAGACTGAATTAAGAAGCATTTTACTTTTTTCCCAATATAATCCTATATATTCAACTATTAAGTTCTTTTAAATATATCATCTTCTTGTATTGGTTTATTGGCTTTAATTTGGGTAGGGAGAGCTTGCAAATTCTTTCATTGCGTCTTGTGATTGTTTAAAGCTAATTTGAACTACAATACTTCATTTTTTCTTTTATTAAAATTATGGTGAATGTAACTGTACTGTCTACCTAGAATGTACCAATAAATCCAACTTAAATTTAAAAAAATTGTGGTGAATTTTGCATAGTATTTGAATAAAAAATCAATTTTTTTTCTTTTGCTCTTTTTTTTTAATTGGTAAGAAGCTTTATTTGCCAGGCTAAAGATAAACTACTATGATGATTTAAGCTAAATAAAAACCTCATAAACTTTTTTTTTTTTAGATCTCTATAAGAATGGACTCCAAAGGGCTAACTTTGTACCATTCATAGCTGTCCTGAAGGTAAGAAGAATCACTTACTTTTGTTCAGTAGTTGTGACCATATTGAGAGGTAATCAAGGGCTTCTGTAAGTCATGTATTCAAACAGAATTCATTTTGATATTTAGATATTGATATTCAAAGACAGTAAAGGAGAACAGAATCTTTTTATGCAATATTCATCCATGTGTACATGGGAAAATTATCGAATACAGTATACTCTAAATTATTCTCTGAAACATTTGATAGTTTGCATTTTATAAATTTTAATTTGAGGTTTGCTCATAAATATTACAGTGGGATGTTTAAACTTATATATTTATTTCTGAAAAAAATGTTTAATATTCCCTGTTTCCTTCAGGTTAATGGCCATTATTAATATGTTTTCCCAGCTATTAAAGTTGCTATTCTAGAATAGCATTATTACAAAAATATTCTAATATATTTAAATGTGATTGCCATCAAGTTATCATAAAATTATGTCAAGTTGAGGCACATAAATAGTTTAAATATTTGTGTGTATCATCATTGCATAGAGTTTAAAATAGTCTTCATTACAATATGATTAAGAATAAATAACCTCCTTTTTCACTATTAAATTTTTTTTTGAGACAAGGTCTCCCTGTGAAGTTCAGGCTGACTTGGAAATCACTATGAAGGCCAGGGTGGCCTTGAACTTGCAGTGATCCTCCTGCCTCAGCCTCCCAAGTGCTGGGATTACATATACTGCTTTTTGCTGTTAATTTTAAATAATTTTTACATGATTATTCAATAATTCCATAATCTATCAATATTTATTGAAAACCTAGCATAGAAAAAGTATCAGTTTAGGCACTACAGGATAATATAATTGTAAAGTAGACTATATCTTGCTTTAGGTTATTTATAATCTAGTTGAGGTTGTAGAATGCGTACAAATACTTATAACAGAAAGCAAAATGTGTAGTACCCAAAAGAAGCACAATTATGTGCCAAAAACATAATTACCATAATTTTAGGTACATAATTTTTTCCAGTTCATATCAACATTTCTGAAGAATAGATAAAGTTGTATTTAACAAAAACTAAAAACTTGAAAATTCTTACTGAGGAGTAGTTAAAACATTTTGCCTTCAAGTATTCCAGAGACACAATCAGACAATCTTATTGACATACACTGTAGTTGGAATTATTATTGGTATCAAACTTTATTCCCTCTGCTATACTTAGGAGAATTTAAACATGTGTTTCCTTAACTAATTTTAGATTCCTAGGGATTTTAATTTCTCTGAGTTATTTATAGATATAGGAAAAGTACTTTTGGATATTCTTGCTGTTAGTAATTTTTTTCCCTTTATATTCTCTCTCTCTCTCTCTTTTTTTTTTACATAAGGAGAAGGTAGATTTGCAGCATTTTCTTCATACTAGGAATCTAAAATAATACTGCATATAAAGATATCAAAATATAAATAAGACAACTAAGAAAAATAGGGGCTAAAAATAGTATCCTCATATAGCATAAAATACATAGAATATAAAAAGAAAAGATTCACAGAATGAAACAAGTTAAGAGGTTCTTAGGGAACTTTTAGGTATACTCTTCTTTTGGCCTTAAATCTTTTTTTATGGCCAGTAATTTGTCATTCTTTATTTAATATATAACAGCACTATTAATAGACAACTAAATTTGTCAGATTAAATTTAATTTTTGCTTCCTTTTTATTCTTAAATTGTGTGTGTGTGTGTGTGTGTGTGTGTGTGTGTGTGTGTGAAGAGGAAGGAAAATAAAACATGAGTACAGTAATCCACAATTTGAAAGTGAAGATGAATCAAGTTGAATGATACTTTATTTGTAATTATGAACCGAAATCCTTGGGAATTGAAATATCTGACTGAATGAGAAAAGGTCTAACACGTTTCCATCTATGCAAAGACATGAATATAAAGGGAAAAATTAACAGCATAAATCTTCCAAAAGTTTTCTCACGTAGAACAAAAAATCAGATTAGTGAAAGAAACTATAGAGTTGGTTTCTCTAGATCTTTTCTGTTTGGCCACATGAGGTTTCCTTTGTAAGGAAAGGCAGTTTCATATTAACTTCCTTAATAATATTTTGCCCATTTAGATTGAGTGTTACATCTGCCTTTTGGCTCAGCTGAGAGAAATATATAGTAGAAGTCAGTCTTAAATAGAGAATCACAGTTTAACAATAAGTGGTTATAAACAAGATTGAAATTTATCAGGAAAAAAGTATATTGTAAAATTCACTTTTATATTATTTTCTGTAAGTCAAAATGATAACACATTTGTAATTTACCATAGAAGCTTACGATATATTGCTTGGAGTATTGAAACATAATAAGAACTTAGTAAAAATAATATTTTCTTAAGATAACAGGAATGAGGGCCGGGATTTAGCCCAGTGGTTCTGTTACCTGCCTCACAAGCGCGAGGATCCGAGTTCATCCCCAGTACAAAAAAAAAAAAAAAAAAGAGTAGGAATGAAGAGGAGGACTAATATATTATTAAAAGTTATAACTCCAGCAATAGGTGAATAAATAATATGTGGTATAGACATATAGTGTAACGTCATTCTTCTATAAAAAGGAATGAAGTTCTGGTACATAGTATATGAATGAACCTTGAAAACATGCTAAGTGAAATAAAACAGGCAAAAGAGGACAAATATTATATGATCTATTTATGTGTGGTTGCTGGAAAAGTCAAATTTTAGAAAAAGTAGAATAGAGGTTGTCAGGATCTTAAAGGAAGAGGAAATAGGTAATTATTGTTTAATGGGTGCAGTTTCTGATGATGAAAATGTTATAGAAATGGAGAATGGTGATAGATGCACAACATAATGGATGTACTTAATGCCAGTGAATTGTATACTTAAAAGTGGTTAAGACAGTAAATTTTATCTTATATATATATTTTCCTGAAATAATAATCTTAATTTAAAGAAATAAGGGTCAAAGTCTTATGACAAATTATGAAAATGTCCCCTAAGTTTCAATTGAAAATCACTCATACCCAAAACCAGAAGGATCTCAAACTAATTGTGAAAAGACAGCCGACTGAAGACAATGTCAATCATGATGACAGAGATGTCGGAATTATCTGATAAAGATTTTAAAGTAGTCTTGATAAAAATGCTTCAATAGGCAGTTGTGAATATCCTTAAAACAAATAGTCATTACTCAATGATTTTTAAAAGTTCCATTTACAGGCAGTATTTTATCATTTTAAATCTGCATGTACCTTATAGCCTTTAAATATGTGAGGCAAATGATGGGATTACAAGCGAAACAAAATTACAAATGTAACAGGAGATATTTTTCATAAGCCTTATTAATAGATGGGGAAAATATATAACAGTAAAGACTTAAGCAGCATAATTAACAAACCTAACCTGAGTGAGAGAAGGGGCGGACAAAAGGAAGAAACATGGGTTAAAGAAATCATATTTTCTAATTAGAAAACTATAATGTCTTCAAGATTCATTGATGTAGCTTGCGCTATGACTCTATTCCTTTTGACTACTGTGACAGTTGTCCATACCACATCTTGCCTATCCATTTATTAATGGCCATTTGAGATATTCTACCTTTTTGCTATTGTGAACAAAGCTACTATGAACATTTTTGTCAAAATATTTGTTTGGCCCCCTGCTTTCAGTTCTTTTGTGTATACTCAGAAGTAGAATTGTGGGATCATAGGGTAATTATATGTTTAAATTTTTTTAGGATTTGTCATAGTGTTTTCTATAGTGGCTGCACCATTTTTTATTCCCATGTGCAATATAATCTCCATAACTGTTGTTCTTTTCTTTTTTTACAGTGCTGGGGATTGAACCCAGGGCCTTGTTATACTAGACAAATACTGTGCCACTGAGCTACTATTTTCTTTCCTTTTTTTTTTAAATTTTTTTGCTTTTTTGAGACGGGGACTCACTATGTAGTTGAGACTGACCTGGAACTCACTGTGTAGTCCAGGCTGGTCTCAAACTCACAGTGATCCTTCTGCCTCAGCCTCCCGAATGCTGGGATTATAGGCGTGTACTGCCACGCCTGGCTTCTTTTTGATAAATCATCCTAATGAATGTGAAATGAAATCTCATGGTTTTGATTTGTGTATCCCAAATTATTAGTAATGCTGAGTATCTTTTCTGGGATATAGCAGACTTTATTAATGGTACAGGACAAGGTGGGGTTTCTTAAACTCTTCCGTTTCTTCCTGGGATCCCAGATGGAAACTGTGTCAAAGAGGAAAGAGTCTCAGTGTGTTGGGGGACTGAACTGTGACAGGAACTTGTCAGTACCTGAGGTCTTCTCTTTCTTTCATACTTTCACTAGGGATGGTGGGCCAGGGAGCTGTCACTTCTTGATGGCCACGTGGACCATATGATTTACCAACCTGTTGCTGTAGCCAAATTTACTGTATTACCAAAAAATGAGCTTGACAAAGTGGCTGTTGAGGGCAATGCCAGTCTCAACGTGAAAGATGGAAGAGCAGTATCACTGTTAGAGTTGAAGGAGACAACCTGATACTCAGTTTAGTCCAGAAACCTCCTTAGGGGGTTTTCCAATGTCTACTCTATTACTTACTTGATGTCATCACACTTGGCAGCTTTTTCCAGATGTAAGGTCTGATCTACTGACACGTTGAGGGGGCCATGTGGAGAGACATGCTAGTGAGCTTCCCATTTGGCTCAGGGAAGACCTTACCCACAGCCTTGGCAGTGCTGGTAGACACAGGAGTGATGGTGTAGATAGTCCCATGGCCATCAAGCAGCAGTTCCCCAGAGGGGCCATCCAGGGTTTTCTGGGTGGCAGTGATGCTGTGATTGTGGCTATGAGCCTCTGCATGATGCCAGGGTTGTCTTGGATGATCTGGGCTTGGGGAAGGGGTGCTGAATGCTTGTGGTGCAGGAGGCATTGCTGATGGTCTTGAGTGAGTTGTACTTCTCATGGTTCAAACCCATCATAAACATGGGTGTTTCAGTAGAAGGGGCAAAGATGATCTTTTGGCTCTAGCCATCCCA